GGGGGTAATCGGCGATTGTAATACCGATCTACTAATTCACGTAACAAAAATCCGGTAAATTACTGTAGGCCTCTGTAGTTTAATTAATAATAATAATAATAATAATAATAATGCGGAGTAGTGGGGTAGGAACTGCCATTATATGGGTTAGGGCTCGGCAGGCATTTATGCCCTTGAAACAACCTGCTACTCTATTATTTTTTACTTTCATTTTACATAGCCGGCCGACTCTTTCTCATATATTATTTTATGAAAAAAATATAATAAAGATTTCACTTTGAATTTTTTAAATGTGTGCGCGTGTTTTAATTGTTTTATTTTCGTGATCGACAATCAAATAATGGATAAATGACATAAAGTCATAAACCGCACGCGTCTAATTTCGCTTTAACGAAACTAAAAACAATGGATCTTTATGATGGTTATGATGGTAAGTTTGCTAGTCATTAGATCGATAACAGTGTTTTGTTTATGGATCTCTAATCCATTTGCTTTTCAGTTGTTTTAAATTATTTTAAAAGCTATGATAGTGAAACGTGGACTTATCAACATTTTTTAACCGAATTAAGAGAAACGATCATTTCTTCTCCTCCCTATACTGATGACTGGACCGGCTTGGACGGTGCATGGTGTAACAGATTTAAAAAATTTTCTAATAAGGTATATGTATGTGGGCGGAATCCTGTAGTTTCTCTTGAAGTAAAAAGGGCGCTTCCAAGTCGTAATTATAGGATATAGTACGATTTAGGAGGTTTGGCGAAATTTTCGTTGCCCAAGTGATGAGTATGATGCGCTTCCAAGTCGTAATTATGGAATATAGTACGATTCAGAGGTTTTGGCGAAATTTTCGTTGCCCCTCATTGCGATTCATGCGATTCATATATTCATCAGCTTTTGTATTTTTTTCAGCATTTTAATATTTTCTTTTGTTATTCCTTTTTTAACAGGGTATTAATAATCGTCAGAATATACAATCATTTTTTCAAGACATCATTCTTGAACGTGAAAAAGTTAGCATTCTAACATTAACATTTTACAAGGATTATCCATAAAAAGTAATTTTTTATTGATTGTATTCCTTAACCTGCCAAAAAATAGAGAAATGCCGAGAAAAATTATGTAATAGAAGGTGTTAGAGTCCTCAATGAGGCAAGATCTCGCAGTTCAAATGAAGTTATCTCCGCTATTAACAAACGATATCCTGATGATCAAACCAGTGGAGACTCACACAAACGTCAATGTCGCCGAACAGAAAACGAACAATTGCAAACTTCAGAAGACAAGGTAGTTGTATCCTCCGTGGTTTTAATATATATCCCGCAACAAAATGTCTTCTCATTTTTCACATTTGTGCACAGGTTTCAAGGTTACAGAGGTCACAGATGACGAAGAATGGGAGTTTGATACACCACAGCCAAGTTGGCTAAAAAAAATTGATGGAGGAACGTTGTCTGTTAATTTCAAAAGATGATCCAATAACTACGTATAAATCATCTTTAAAGTAAATGTTGGGCAAATACTGGTTCCATTTTTCTTGATGTTAGTAGGTTATAACGAAGTTCTCTCCTCAGATCAACATGGTGGAAGATTGTAGACTTGTCGGATCCTAAACTTGTAGATCTTCTTTTAGCATCAGATCTATCTGATCTGAACGCGATGTTTTCATCTGCTTTAAAAGATTGGACCGTGCTGGAACCTTCAGCAGAAAGATGTCTGAAGTCACTTTCAAAGGTGAATAATGTCGATATAAGCGTCTCAATTCTTTTGATTAACATTTCTTTTGGTTCCCAGCTCGACAGCTATCAGCTTCGTACAATTGGAGAAACCGTAAGACCGAAGGGAACACACGGTGCAATTCTTAGACTCCAAGAAATGAGTATTAAGAATCCAATTACCTTAGAAGCTGACGATTTATTTTATGATGGATATATCGACAAAATTTTTCACGAAGAAATTTCATTACTTGATCCTAATGATCATCTGGATCCAGATGTCGCGTACATTTTTGACTTGATTAGATATACGTAGGTTCATTTGATAATTCAACGTTTAACTATACATGCAACTTCATATACTTTTACTTCATCTTCCATCAGGTGCGAGATGATTGCGAAAGGGATCCCCAATAGGCAAAACTCGGAGCGAGACATTGATATTTTTATCAAACGTCATATTTTTTCATGTTTCGATGACATTTTGGATAGTCATTTGTAAGTTCCATTATTATTCTCATATATTTTTATTGTTTGTAATTATGCTTAAATAATTTTCTTAAATAAGCGGTGAGGTGGTATCAAGAGCTTCACGAGATCGTCGAGTAAATGCGGTAGATGCTCCGAGTAATGCGGAAGGATACCACCTCGACTGGATGTTCACGGTATGTTAAACTCTCAAAGGGTTCATTGTTATTTTCAGAGCGTTTACTAACTTAAATCTATAGCGACACGATTTAGGAAAGGACTTAAGTTGGGGTCGCGAATTTTCAATTTGCGAACGTGCCGGTTCCAAAGTTGAAAACAAACGCAAGGTTATTTCGAATAACTTAAAAGGACAAAAGATTCTAAGAGACATGCACCGATCCCTAACTGAAGTAATATCTGCAGAAGGCGATAGAATGCTTTCAAAGCCGGTTCTGCAGTCCATCACAAAGCTTCTTATGCCCGGTTTTTTGTCTTCTTACTTTGTTTTGCGTGCTATCCTAGTTATATATGTAGGAGGAGGCTATTACGCATCGAAAAACAGTGTTGGCAATGGACATATCCATTGATATAACAATCGACAATGGACAGTTTTCCATTGTGTCCATTGCATTGTCC